TTATGTAGGTTGAGATCTTGCTACATGATCTGAGTAAAATGTGAATGCACAATGGCTTTAAAGTGATATCAGCTTTACTAAGATGTTGATAGAAATTTGTCAGTGTTTGCTAAGGCTAATAACATTAGAAGTTCATATAGATAGAATAATTTCCTGTTTAGTTCCTTAATTTATTCTTGTGTTCTTTTATTAAGGATATACTGCAAACAATAATCCTATATAGTTCAGAGTAGTAATTTACATTGTAAGTGATAATAAAAGACATTGTTATTTGCTCATATGTGGTGCTCTTGATTTTGTAGCCACTTCCAGAAACTGTTGCACTTGTGAAGGACATTGTTGTTGAATATGTCACTGACCTGGTAAGTTTATTTTGTGTAGTTGTGTGTGAGAGTGGGATGAAAATGGCCCAGAACCCAGATCATTCGTACATGTAGCCTATAGCTGTACATACATGTTTGCAATTTCTGTACGAGATGTAGCAGCCCTCTTGAATGCTGTAGTTCACAAATTTTCAGCAGGAGTTTGTAGTTCACAGAACCTGAGAGTGTTGTATGTTTTTTTTTCTGAAAACTGAATGTCATTATGCATTGTTTGAAAATGGATGCAACATGTCTCATTTTACATGTCTGAATGTCATTGTGCTTTTTGTGATTTTGCTTAGTTTATTGGTAAACTTGTTGACTGATATTATTATTATGCAGACCCTCTACAAAACATCAGTGTGGTAACTGATAGACAAGCTGGAGCATCAATACCAGGGAGATGTAGGGTTGCAGTGACAATGGTGAGGCTGCAGCCGTTTCTTCGTCTAGTACTCTGCTGGTAGTAAATGCTTAGCTAATACGTACTCATGGTTGTGCAAGAGCTTGTTATGCTGATGCCAAGTATTTGGAGTTGTTTTGGGTAGATGGGTGTCAAATGTTTAGATGTATTGTGTATTTTGGTATGTTGATGCAAGACATCTTTATATGTATTGGATTCATGTCATATTTATTAGATTCAAGCTATATTTAAAATAATTGTGTATTTTCTGTGCAAATGATATTAAATATATTGTTTTTTGAAATGTATAGAAAATGCTATTGCATTCATTAGATGTATATCATTGTCCTGTGGGTCGTAATTTCCTCGGCGGTTTAACACCGACAGGAAAATATATTTTTTGACCGTTGTAAGTCGACAGGGAAAAATCGATACCGACAGAGAAAGTGCAATTTTTTTTACGGTTACTCAACCGACAAAATAACTACCCTTTTTATTCTGTCGGTTTTTTACCGTCAGGTTAAATAATTATCCTGTCGGTGATGTACGATTTCCTGTCGGTGACGGACCGCCAGAACATAACCTCTATCCCTGATGGTGTATGATTAGCCTGATGGTTTAGAACCGACAGGAAAATCAAGATCAATTTCCCTAACGGTGCATCATCAGACATTTATGTATTTCCCAGTCGAGCTAGCCCTGACGGTTATTCCCTGGCGGTGTAGCGTCAGGGAAATTGAATTTACATTTTCCTGACGGTATTTTCTGTTTTCCTGACGGTAATTGCACCGTCAGGGAATTTCCGCTTTTCAATAGTGGTTAGAGCGCCGCTATGGCCATGTCGACCCCGCTATGTCGCCTCTAGCCCCCCGTCGTGCCTCCTAAGCCATGCTGCTCCTAAACCATGAGCTCATGAGAGAAGAGAGAGGGGAGGATAGGAGATATGGAGTTGAGGGAGATGAGGGAGGAAAGAGGAGGGAGATGGAGCTAACATGGGGGCCCACTGATGTGAGCAATTGAGCATGACACGTCAGCCTACGAGCATGGGTCTAGACCTGTTTGGACTGGTTATGAAACCTGAACATAGATTAAACATCTAAATAGATGTTTTATGAGTTTAGGAACACATGAATGACACAATTAATTAAGTTTGAGGATCTAAACAACTATTTACAAGTTTAAGGACCGGGATGATAGAGCCCGACAAGTTTGAGGACATAAATGAGCACCGCAAGTTTACAGATCAGAATGAGATCACAGAACAAGTTTGAGGACCACCGATACATTTTACTCGCTCTCTATATATACTTCTATAGACACGTTCGGTGCATGTCATACATACATGTCTACTTGTCATGAACTACACAATTACAATAGGCAAGATATATATGTTGGTTTTCTTATTATAGGGATTGAGAGAGACGCAGCAGGTCGTCCCTCGAAAAGTGCTGCTGGCCACAAACTAAGCAAGTAGGTCCACACCACAGGAAGGAATGCGGAGGGCCAAAACAATGGCGTCCTCACATAGCCATAGGCCTGTCTTGATGACGCGAAGGCAGAGAATGAAGAGCTGCTAGCCTATCAACCATGCATGGAAGCAGCAATGGCACCTGGATCAGTTACAAACCCTGCACACCAGCAAATCCAATCTTAGCGGCTAGCGATCTCTAGTTTATATTACAATTAGCAGCAAGCGATCCGGCTGGCTGGCTGGCTAAGTAGTTATTATTACTCCTACTACCTAGTAGCGAGATCGATCGATCGATCATGCCGGGCCGCTCGGTGGTCTCCGTCCTTCTCCTCCCTGGCCTCCTCTGCCTGCAGCTGGTTGCCTTGGCCGAGATCGAGATGGACGACGGCGGCGTCATGGAAGAGGGCAGCTGCATGCATTTCAGTGTCTCCCCGCCGCCTGCTCCGCCCGAGGACGCGGAGGAGCGGCGCGACTATTTCCGCGCCATGGCGGCCAAGGATCTGTTCCGGCACGAACAGCTCATCACAATGATGGGCAGCGACCGGAACGGCAGCCGGAGGCGGCAGGCGAAGGAGTCATCCAAGCTGCCAGAGGTGATGTCCGCCACGTCCATGTTCGAGCTGCCGATGCGGAGCGCGCTCAACATCGCGCACGTGGGCATGTACCTGGTGTCGGTGCGCTTCGGCACGCCGGCGCTGCCGTACAACCTGGTGCTGGACACCGCCAACGACCTGACGTGGATCAACTGCCGGCTGCGGCGACGCAAGGGCAAGCACTACGGGCGGCAGTCGCAGACGATGTCGGTGGGCGGGGATGATGACGCGGCGGCGGCGTTGGCGAAGAAGGAGGCGAGCAAGAACTGGTACCGGCCGGCCAAGTCGTCGTCGTGGCGCAGGATCCGGTGCTCGGAGCAGGAGTGCGCGGACCTGCCCTACAACACGTGCCAGAGCCCCAGCAAGGCGGAGTCGTGCAGCTACTACCAAAAGACGCAGGACGGCACGGTGACGATCGGCATCTACGGCAAGGAGAAGGCGACGGTGACCGTGTCCGACGGGCGGATGGCCAAGCTTCCCGGCCTCATCCTGGGCTGCTCCGTCCTGGAGGCCGGCGGCAGCGTGGACGCCCACGACGGCGTGCTCTCGCTGGGGAACGGCCATATATCGTTCGCCATCCACGCCGTCTTGCGCTTCGGGGGGCGCTTCTCCTTCTGCCTGCTCAGCGCCAACAGCTCCCGCGACGCCTCCAGCTACCTCACCTTCGGTCCCAACCCGGCCGTGATGGGGCCGGGCACCATGGAGACGGAGGTCCTTTACAACGTGGACGTGAAGCCCGCGTACGGGCCCCGGGTGACGAGCATCTTCGTGGGCGAGGAGCGCCTGGACATCCCGGATGACGTGTGGAACACCGAGAAGAAGCTCGGCGCCGGTGTCATCCTGGACACGAGCACGTCGGTGACGTCTCTGGTGCCGGAGGCGTACGACCCGGTGACGGCGGCGCTGGACAGGCACCTGGCCCACCTGCCGCGGGTGAATATGGAAGGCTTCGAGTACTGCTACAGGTGGACCTTCACCGGCGACGGCGTGGACCCGGCGCACAACGTGACGATACCCAGGTTCACGGTGGAGATGGCCGGCGGCGCGAGGCTGGAGCCGGAAGCCAAGAGCGTGGTGATGCCGGAGGTGGACGCCGGGGTGGCGTGCCTGGCCTTCAGGAAGCTGCCGTGGGGAGGAGGACCCTGTATCTTCGGCAACGTGCTCATGCAGGAGTACATCTGGGAGATCGACCACGCAAAGGCCAAGATGAGGTTCAGGAAGGACAAGTGCAACACGCATCATCTCCACACCAGCACCGGCGGAGAAGTCACCAACGGCACCAGCCGCAGTGGCAAGCAGGCCAATTCCACCTGCAATGGCACCTCCTCCTCATCTACCGTCGTGCATCGCGTCAATTGATCGATTTGATCCATCCATCCCTGCAGGCCTGCGGGCGGCATTACACGGACTCGTTTTATCTGCTCCATCCATCCATTCCCCAATTCATTCTCTACTCTCTTCTCTCTCTCTACGGAAGGATATATATATTTTTTATAACCAAACCATGCATGCATGTCGCTGTTTTGTACTTACCACATATACATACATACTAACAAAAGCAGCTAGCTCAGCTGGCTGGCCTGTGTACTGTGTTTATTTCATTTCATTTGCTGATCAACCCATGTAACCATGCATGTCCCCGGGCAGCCCTTGTTTTTCTTCTCTTCTTCGTTCGTTTTTTAATTTCAGGCCCATTATATTGGAGATGCTTGTAATTAATTATTACTACTAGTAAGTTACTATATATTTACTACAGTATATATGAGAATAGTGTTATGGATTCTATATGCTGATGTTGTGAGTGCTCTAGCTCACTTTGGTTCTTCACTTCATATGGTATAGTATAGTTTTCTGCACTAGTGTTTGTTGCAAAACACAGAATACATTTGCAGACAAATTGAATTCCGCACATACATACTAGTCCAATTCAATTCAACAGCACAAACTTGCAAACCTTTATATATCTATTCAAGATGCATGCAGGTACAGTTGCAGGGTGTAATTAGGACCCTAGTCTATATCTGTCTTGAGCTCCCATCCGGGGACATACATTTATTTGACCTTCCTAAAGAGTGTCTTTTTGGTATCTATATACTTGTGATATAAAAAGTTACAAGTAAAGGAAATGTATCCACCTCCCTCACTGTGAATGTGAAGGAAATACTAAAATGTCATCCCTTGGATCTCTTCATTTTCACAATGAAGTCATTGTCATCGTCACTGTAATCAACTCTTCTCTTTGCTTTGGAATCCATAATGCTTGGTTTCTTCGAACTTTCAGGTTTATCTTTTCTCATCACTGCAGAAGACTTGATTGGGGTACCCATTCTCACTTGCTGCTGCCGCTTTTGCTTCCTTTCATATGCTTTCTTTGCTCTCTCTGGAGACAACAGACCATGCTCCATCAACCTGTTTATATGTAGTTTTTTTCAATGTGAGGCCATTAACACAATGTAAGTGCTCATAGTCTATCTATTAGTATCTGCACTACAACACTTCAAAAATGTATTTATTTCCCATCTTGCTGAAGCCTTAAATTCAATCTTAAGTTTGGATATAGAGCAGGAATGTAGATTGTACATGCAGCCACCAAACAGAAGGAATTAAGGGTGAATGCAAAATGCAAAGAGATGGAGCGAAGATAGGAGAAACATGTAAAGTTACTGACATTAGCCAGTACTGCAATTTACAAGCAAACAATCCGTCACCCACCCGTTCATTTTTTTTTTTCTTTCTTGATCATCAATTCATCATGATGCCTCAACTTGTGTGACATATATATACAGTACTATATATATGAATATCATATCTATCTTGTTGTAAATGGTAATGTCAGACTGTCAAGAGTCAATGTATAGGAGTGCAACCTAATAGTAGGCAGTAATTTTCAACGAAAATTACCTCCTCCTAGTAGTTTGCAGGTATTGAAACTCATCAGACACAGTGTATGGTACTGATGGAGCTCAAACACTGCCTACTTTGAATGTTAGCATGTCAGTTCAATTCAAGAAAGGTATTTCTTTGCAGCATAAGAATTACTAAATATTGCGTAGAACAACACTGATGGTGTAGTAACTGCCTAGGTGGCTGCAGGAAGACGCAGATGATCCATCGGGTCTGAGAGCTGAGATTGTGTGTGGGAGGGGACTAGGGGAGAAAGGAGAATGCATATGAATACCAGAATTCAGCCATCTCACTGGAGGGGATCTGCTTGGACAGCGACTCGTAGAAAATCCTGAGAGGCTCCCTCTCCTCCGGAGGATCGAACTTCTGGCCGGGCAAGGAGTAGACCTTCTTGTCGGCCTTCCCTCTCCCCTTCCCTCTCCCTCTGCTGGTGGTGGTGGTGGCGGCGGCGGTTCCACGCTTGGTAGCTGCTGCTGCCGCCGCTGGGGAAGAGGAGGAGGAGGATTTCCCTTTGGCCTGCATCAGCATGGGACAGTCAGTACACCCTCCGATTTAGAGCTTGGCTGAGAATCGAGCAGTCTGAGTGACTAAATTGCCATATGAGGAGGAGGAGACTACGGGATCTGATCTGGTTTGGTTTGATTTGGACAGGGGCGCAGTCAGCCAACAAGCTAAGGGGGGAGGAGTAAGGGAGGGAGGCCTACCTCGAATTTGGCAGATCCGGATGCGGATCCGATTGCGGACTTGCCCTTGGCCAGCGCGGAAGACGAAGACGACATCGCCGGCCGGGGAGGAGGAGGGGATGCCTGCCAGGCGTGGCCGCGTGGGTTTCAGAGCCAAATCCCACGGCAGCAGACAAGAGAAGTGAAGAGAAGAGCAGAGCAGAGCCCCAGAGCAGCCGACCAGCACAGCACTCACTCCACGTGACCTGAATGCTGCTGGTCCGATTGGAATGGGAAAAAAAAGAATTAGTACAAATTCTTTTTGCATGCACCGATCCGAGCCCGTTCGTTTTGCCAAAATTTAGCTTACGCTAATGTTTACGTTGATTCAGGGCCGTGCAGGTAAAATCTGGGGCCTCGTTCTAAACTCTAAAATAGACCTTATCGGCCTAGAAAATAGAACGATAATAACATGTACATGGTATTGCAATAAATGAAGAATCATACATATTCAACCCTGGTAGTCTTCACTCTTTAGTCATATGTGGATGGCGGTTTAGTCACTCGGCATCGTCTTGCTTGATCTGGAAGATAGAGATGCTTAGATGCGGAGGTGGACCCGATACAAACTAGATGGATTTTGCAACGCCGCTACGAGGAGACGCAACGTCGGCAACTAATCCTAGAGTCGGTAGGCTTTGATGGGTCGTAATTTTTGAGGCCCTTGTGAATGGGAGGCCCTGTACAATCGCACATCTTGCACGTGCATGGGGCACGGCTCTGTGCTGATTTTTTATGAGAAAAAAACACTGTTTGTTTGTAATTTCTGTGCGAGCAATGATCTCCTATAATAAGCGTTCATCCCTCCCTGATTGCCATATACTGATACGTGGTCTAACACGTCTGCACTTTGTATTCAAATTCAGAATTGAGACTTCACTGGATTTCGTCACATCAGGATGTTTTATGCTTGCAGCTGTCAAAACCCAAAACTGCTTTGCTCTGTCTATTCTATATTTCTATTATGCACTAGCCAGTAAGGTATAGATTGAAGATTGCAATCTAGTATTTGGCTTACTTTGCCTGTGGTTTTTGTTTTGATTGTGGACTATTTTCGTCGCTCCGAGCAACTTGAAGATACTCTCCATATCCTTTCTAGAGATTTTGATAAAAGAAAATAATCTCCACTAGCTTTTTTATTTAGTTATCCAAATATAGCCATATTCTAATCCGGATTTCTCGCTAGACAAAGACTGAAAACGAGAATGACGATTTAGAGTGCACATAAGATATAGAAAAACTATTGGAGAGTGGAAAGATACATAAAACGATTTTTATGCAAATGACTGTTCAAATGATGCTTTAGAGAGTAAGCTTTAGAAAGACTCTTGGAGATGCTCTTATACTTAATAATGATTTTCCGTAGCTTTATCTACGACAATGTCATGGTCTTGGTGATGTGTCAGCTAACTCAACAAAAGAAAGCAGAGCTCGATGCCTTTATGTAAATAACATCTCACTACTACAGGAATCAATTTGCGCAGCGTGGCCAAAATGGGCTCCGTGGCGGGCACCTCTTTTGCCCGCCACGGTTAACCGCTTTGGCCGCCACCGAGGCGCCAGCTCGCGGAAAAGGGTTTACCGCGGCGGGCCACCTTACTTTGCCCGCCGTAGAATCAAATCGTTATTTACAAGCGGCGAAGCGGTATGAATGGCCCGTCATGTTATATCTGATTCTGGTGGCGGGCTCTTTAAAACTGCCCGCCATGATAAGAGTTGATTTACCGAGGCGGGCGCTTTATCTTGCCCGCCATCGATAAAGCTCAAATAAATACACAGACCACCACCCTTCATCTTCTCCACGGGTCTTCTTCGGATATGTATTCCACTGATTTTTACGTCCTTGGGTCGTCCATGCTTGAGGGTTCGTTTCGCAGAGCTATGCTCCTCATTCTCCGGTGAAGTGATAATAAGGTTAAAAATGATTTTTTTATTCTTTAGCATAAACTCTTAGAATCGCTCACGGAGAATCACTTCACGAATCGAAGAAGCTACTTTTTTTAGCTCTTAGCCTCTTAGTTTATTTCCAGAGAATCGCTTCACACAATCAATGAAAATCTCACTCTAAAATACCGTTTAGCGGTGAGTAGAGTGATTCGCTCCCGAGACGCACCCTCAAGCCCGGCATTTGGGGTTCGCCTTTTACAGGCATGTGGACCACCATCCCACCGGCACTACTGCATGTATGGAGGCTCTTTCTTATTGCTACATTTTGCTTTTTGCATGTAGTGAGTTGATAATCAAACTTCAAATGCTAATATCTATTTAATCATGTGTCCAATTTGTAATTTCTTTTTACACATCGCCTTGATAAATCGAAAGAAACACAAGGCAAAGCCAAAATCCCAGCTCATTTAATGTTAAGCCACGATTTACCGTGGCCTCTAGGCCGCGGCGGACGGCTTTGCCCGCCGCGGGAAACCCAAATCGCCCGCCTCCAGTAAAGTTTATGTAGTAGTGTCTCTCAATAAATTAGCATCCCTTAAAATTGTCTATTATAGGTGTTGACAGTCAAATGTGATCGAGAGAATCGAAGATGAAACTAAAATCACATGCAATAAAAAAGGATCAAATTCAAATTGAATTCGGCTAAGTTAGCAAAAGCCAGAGAAAATTGGCCCTGGCTGGTTTGAGGTCTTCCTAGCTGAAGACAGGTAAAACTAGTCCAGGCTGGTTTCTCTAGAGAGGCGGGCTGGCCCAGCTAAAACCGACCCAGGCCGGTTTATCCAAGAAACATGTGGGGCACTGTTTAAACCGGCCTAGGTCGGTTTTCGTACCTACCTGAAACTGATTTTAGCTGTGTCCAACGACAATTCGTGATTTTCTAGTTGGAAACAACTCCGATCTCATGTAAAACTTGTAGATTGCATGTAGAATAGGTTTCCTACTAGGATAACATCATCGCTCTCTATTTATATAAGAGGACCACAGTCGATTAAAAGTGCTAGGAGGAGTTATTTTCCAAGAAGCTTGTGCTCCGTTGGCGAATGAGTTCATCTACTGTGATGTTATTTATGTTATTCCTCGGTCTTGTAATAATGTTGCTCATGAACTAGTTCAGAGTTAGGATTGAGAAGAAACCTGAGTCATCCATGTGTCTGGTTTCACCGCCTTTCGACCTTTGTAAACTCTCTTGTGGATCGTGATATCATCGATCCCATGGTTAAATGAATGTATCTACTAGACTTGTTACCCTCTCCTCTACATTTCCAACTTGCTATTGTTGCTCATTCTTCATTGACGTTGCTAATGGTTGTTGGTCCAATGACGACAAAACTCAAGAGCGGCCAGGCCGGGCTAGGGCAGCCCATAGCCGCTGCACGTCTTGACGGCGACGTGTATTACGTATCGCACTCATCGCTGGAGTCATAAGGTAAAGTGTTCATGTGCGAACATGTTGTCAGGCGGTGACTGACCTTAAAATCGGCTAAGCTAATTTTTGGCCCATCTTAATTTGGGAGCCTGGCCGCTGGCCTAGCAGCAATCTGGAAATGCATCCGCTGAAAATACTGTTACCTTGTTTCGCAGATGCTATTATCCTCACTTCTGTTGAATGTTTAACACTTCTAAAATTGGATTGGGTTGGTAGTTATACTTTTTTTCCTGGAATTTGTCTTGTTGTCCTTGTGTCTAAAAAGAAGAAACCAAGAGAGGGGTGGGGGAATGCGTGTGCATGCAGCAAGTCAACGATGGTGTTGTTGATAGCAGAGCAGACTTTGCCAAGTCACGTACGGAGTAGCAGGTGAAGATAACGTTGTGCTAGTGTGCTTTGTGCTTGTGCTCCTAGTAGTAGATGCTAGATACATACTACAGGGAGTGAGACGACGAAGAGGAACAAACTAACAGCACACAGACAACCACTTACATGGCCCACTTGCATTGGAAGAGATGTGGGGCCCGCCCACCCCGCTGCTGCAAGGGCAAGCCTGCAACTACCCTGTCGTTTGCCGCGCAGCCCGTGCACCGTGCTCTGCTGTTCTGCATGATGAATGTGATCATCAAGGCCTTAGCGGCTCTTACTCCTCTCCTCGGCAATGTGCCATACGTATATGAAATGAATATATCTCGTCTCCTCTGGAGCGGAGCGGAGCGGAGCGACTGGAGCAGCCAACAGCGCGCGGCCCCCAGGCCATAACCACTCCCACTCATGTCCGTCTTGCATTCCATTTCCATGGCAGCGCCGTCTCCTGTCTCTTCTCCCGGTCCCAGATACTGTACTAGCTAGCAGATAGACGCTGAGCAAGAGCAACACATCCTAGCCGAGAGTCAAAAATCTTCGGGTCGTCGTCCAGGGCCAGGGCCATGGCGCTGCCGAGCCAGCAGCTCGCTCTCCTCGCGGTCCTCGTCTCTGCGGCCGCATGCGCCGCCGAGGCCGCAGCGCAGCCGACTACCGACGAGCTGTCTGCGTCTCCGGCGGCGGATAACAACAGCACACCGGCGGGCGTGGGCATCAAGGTGTCCTTCCGCCCCCGAGTGGCCATCGTGGTGGGCATCTTCACCATGGTCTTCTCCCTCACCGTCATCCTCCTCATGTACGCCAAGTTCTGCCACCCCTCCTCGTCTCCCCCGCCCGCCTCGGCGCTGGTGGGAGGCGGAGAGACAGGCGGCAACAATGGCGCAGCAGCAGCGGTGTGCGTCGGAGTCCCCAAGCAGGTCATCGAGTCGCTGCCCTTCTTCCGGTTCGCCACCCTGCGCGGGGCGCGCCAGGGGATGGAGTGCTCCGTCTGCCTCGCCCGCTTCGACGACGCCGATCTCCTCCGCCTCCTGCCGCGCTGCCGCCACGCCTTCCACCTCGACTGCGTCGACCGCTGGCTCGAGTCCAGCGCCAGCTGCCCGCTCTGCCGGACCAGCGTCGACGCCGACGACGCCACGATCGGGCTCAAGTACCCATCCAGCGCGCGCATCGTCTTCGGCGGCGACGCGCTGTCCTCCGGCCGTTTCGACGCTGCTGCTGCTGGGACAGGGAGCGGACGCGACCTCCTCGACATCTTCGTGGAGCGCGTGCCCGGACCGGACAAGAAGCATCAGCAGCAGCAGGTTGGCGATGATGATGATGAGGCGACATCATCGGTGGCGCCGCCGCCGGGACTGGAGCTGGACAGGCACAAGCACCGCATCATCGTGTCCGACGTGGTGTTCAAGAGCCGGTGGAGCGAGCTCAACTCCGCCGACCTCATCGCGCTCGACACGGAGATGCTGCGCTCCATGTCCAGCGGCCGCTTCGTGTTCCCGCCAGATTCCCCTTATTGCCCGGAGTACAGCAACGAGGCCCAGGCCCCCAACAACAAGATAGCAGCAGAAGAAGAAGAGGACGGTATCGTGCCGACGTCGAGGGGGGACAAGGAGAGGAATCGGTTGCTGGAGCCTGTCGTCGTGGTGGACGCTCGACTAGGTGGTGGGTGCAGCAGCGGCTCCGCCGTGTCGGCGTCCGCGGCGAGGATGATATCCTCCGGGGTGCGCTCCATGTCGGAGATCGTGAGCCTGCCACGGCTGCGCGCCGCGGCGAGGGAGCGGCTGTCGGAGGAGGAGAATCGGCGGTGGCTGCCAATCGCACGGCGGACGGCGCGGTGGTTCGCCGGGCGCGCCAGTAGGGGGCAGGAGGAGGAGCACCGAGCTGTCCACGTCGTGGCAGCGGAGCATGATGATGTGTGATGGTGAGTAGAGTAGAATAGGATACTAGGAGAAGAGAATCACATCGAATGGAATGCGTTGAATTTGGGATAGATGGGTGAAAAGTGTAAACAAACAAACAGTCAAGATCATCGATCGATCATCAGTCCATATAATGATGAAAAGAAATTGATCAAAGACAAGTCAGAATTGAATTATGGAGGGAGGACGAGAGGGAGCGGCCGGCCGGTCAGGTCAGCCAACAGGGCAATGCGATCACGCAGCACAGCAGCAGGCAGGCATGCCGGCCGGCCTTGTTTACATTAGCAGAGGTGGTTTGGTTTGTATAATCTCTGCCAAATAATGCTTGCGTTGTGTTATGACTTGGAGGAGAGCTAGGACGATGATAATGCACTGCAGCTGCAGCAGAATTATAAATTATTCATTCAAAAAAAAAAAAGTGGAGCAACAAGGTGACGATCCGACGCACATGGAGACATGCATGCCTTCTCAACATGCATGTAAACAACACCATAGAATATACGTACTAGCTAAGAGTAGCATTATGCAATGTAATGCATATGATGTACCCCCTCTCCGGTTCCTAGCTAGTTAATTAGAGTTGATGATAAATAATACACGTGCTTGGCTGTGGCACACCATATAAGAAAGAAAGGAATAAGGCCCGTTTGGCATAGCTCCTACCGAACCTAGCTTCTCAGACGCATTCACTGTTCATAGAAGCCGTTTTTATCTCTCATCTCTCCTCCTCTCACAGAGCCAGTCGGCTTCTCCTGCTCCCACTGGCTCTGTGAGAGGAGAAGAGATGAGAGATAAAAACGGCTCCTGCGATCAGTGTATGAACAGTGAATACGTCGGAGAAGCTGGAGCTGGTAGAAGCTCTAAAACGGGCCGACAATGGTGTGCGTTCATGTTCCAACCTAGCTACTACTTTATACTATTGACTCCCTTCCCATTTGGTCTGCTTTCATTCATAGGTATTGCTTGGCAAGGACCAGTACTCCCTCTGTTTCAAGAAAAAAAAAGAGAGTAAATTTCACTTGTGGTCCTCGAACTTGTCCCGAGTTCTCATCCAGGTCTTAATACTTTCAAATTGCACATTTAGCTCCCTAAACTTGTCCTAAGTTCTCACTCCAGGTCCCGGTACTTTTAAATTGCGTATTTAGCTCCCTAAACTTTTCCCAAATTCTCATACAGGTCCGATACTTTTAAATTGCACACTCAGGTCCGTAAAGTTGTATTGTTGTACCATTATGGTCCATCCACCCCTACACCATCATCCTCACCTTCGCCAAACCGCACATGCCCGCCTTACCCGCATAGTGTCGGGGACCAACACTAGGGTACCTGAAGAGGAGGAGCTAATGCTCATCAAACATTGATTCATCCGCACGATCAAGAGCGCTGGATCTCGCCTTCTTCGAGCTCCGCCGCCTCGACGTCCGAGGGTCAGAAGCTGCCTCACTCGCCCGGACATCGAGGGCATTTCCACGCATTCCCCCGACCCGGGAATCAAAGAGCGAGATAAGGCAAGACGCTCAAGTCAACCGTAAGTAATCTTGAGGACCGTACCACTTGCACACACAGGGGATCTGATGCCGTCAGGCCATGCCAGAAGGGTGCTTTGTGTAACACCCTAGGTGTTTGGCTTCCACATTTGCACTTGCATTTCATAAACATGAGCATCATTCATCCATTCATGAGGTTATATTGCATGAAACATGCTTGTGAAACATTGCAACATATTGTCATATTTCATGTGTGTTTGTTTTATGAAATGAATAGTGTGCAACACTCAAGTGCAACATATGCAACACACTTTAGTGAAACATGGTTAGTTAGTACCATGCAACAAGATCATGAAACATGTGAAACATGACTATGAAACAAGTGTAACATTTCATGTGTTTTTCATTGTTTCAGTACATACCATGCTTGATTCTTGTGTGACCAATGTGGGGTGTGGCTAATTATTCTCCTAAGAACCTTAGTTATACTTAGAATGTCATTAGGAACAATGTTCATGTTGATCATTTTGCCTAATTAGGTTCCCAAGTCATGGTTTGACCATTATGGACCCCTAGAGCTCCTGAGTTTGACTGTTTAAAAAGTGTAGCTTAGAGTGTTTGCATGTCTGAGCAACCTAAAGCAACGTTGTAGTAAATTTTATAAGGAACAAAATTTGTTTAGAAGCCAAATCATGAAAATGAGCAGAACATGTTCAAATAGGGCCCACAAGCCTAAGATCAGTGTTGTTTCAACACTTAGAAATTTTCTAAGTGTTGGAACTGCTTTCCAGTTTCATGAAGACGACTTTGGAACCTTGTAGATGGAAATCCATGGTGAATTAGCTCGAGCTTATGTTGAGTCATTTGGAGTACTCACTTAGCTCTATCATGTAGTCCAACTGGATTAGAATTTGGCCGAGCCGATTAGGAGTTATGTAGCGTTGAAAATCGCCTGTCAGGATGTTCACTTGGTAACTGAATCGGATTTTCAGACTCGCTACAGTGACCGACCGGCAGCAAAGCCTTGCCGCCACATGGACGCCACGCGCCCGGCTGGCCCTGACCACGCTGCGCCCTGGCCGGCGTGAAGAGGAGGACGCCTGCTGCCTCTCTGCTCGCTCGCACGTGCTCTGTCTCCCACTCGCTCTCTCTCGCAACGCCGCTGCTCGCCATTGCCGACGCCGCTCGCTTTGCCACCGTAACTCGCCTTCGATGCCGTGCTATTGGCCAATCCGTCTCGACCATCACCGCATCTCCTTCCACTCCACCTCCCGGACCTCTCGCTCTACTCCCTTGAACTGTTGGTAAGGCACATTTCGATTTCCGCCGACGGAGACTTCACCAGAGCAAGCCGTGCTTGCGGTTCATGTGGCCGTGGCACTCCACCGCACCACGCGCTGCCTCTTCCTCCGGTCTGGCACCGCGCTAGCTTGCTGATGCTCTGGTAGGAATAGCTCTAGACGCTACCGAGCGTGTGCCTAGGAATGCCCCGGTGCACCTCACCGTGTCCGCCATGGCCGCGAGCATGAGCTCGTCGTGGCCGGCCGCCTTGAACCTTTCCTGCCTCTTATAGCGCGCGCATGAGGACCTTTATGAGCCATAGTATCTACCTCGAAGACGTAGTCCTTGGATTTACCGCCGTTGAGCCAGAACAGCCATGCCGCCGTGATGCTCGGGGCGCCGCTGTGTGACCGTGCGTGCGGCCAAGCTCACCGGCGCTACCCTAGCCGCCCTTACCTTAGGCTATCTCTGCGTTAGGTCTCTAGGAAACTCTAGCGTCTTTCGCTGGGTGATACGGTGGCCGGAGTTGGCCGGCGTGCCGTCGGGCGTCTACGCTGTCCGCCATGGCCGCCGCCGTCCATGCTCCGAGGGGCCATTCGCCGTGCTCCGTACATCCCTCAATGCGGTTGAGCTCGAAGATGGCGACGGTGGTGACGCAACCGCCTGAGCCCTCCGCGCCGGTGAGGAAAAGCTCGCCGGAGCACCACGGCAGTCCCTCCCCTGTTTCCTCTCTCTGACCTTAAGGATGCTAGGAAAAATATGAAATATGTTGCTTGACACTTTTCACTAAGGTTTCCTAATTATGCCATTTTAATCCATTATGCCTTATCATTTTTGTGGGGGCTGTTATACTTACTCAAATGGTGTGAAATTTTTATGGTAGTCTACTTAGAGCATGTAGTATCTACTGTAATTTTTGTAGATTTAATGGTGTAGTTTTCATATATGTTTACCATTTCTTCTAATTAATTAAATAAATTAAGAAAGGTATGCAAAGAAATGTTTGGGTGATGAACACCCTACTTTCTGGTGTTCTTGTGATATGTGTAATAAGTGAGTAGAGTTAGTTTTGTCCAATTATGTGTTTACATCATAAGTTATTAATTATTTCGTTTGCATTATGTCCCTCTGGACAGATCTGGGGACTTTGGAAAGTTTCCCATGATATTTTGATTTGCTGTGAATATGATGAAAACAAGAGTTGTAGATAATTTATGTATCTAGCACCTATAAATATTTGAGGGCATTTGGCCCAGTAGTTTAGAAACTACAGTTGTTTAAAGTTAGGTTCCAGTTTTGCTTACTCTCTGTCTTGGGAGGACAGAGTTCTGTTGATCAAAGAATTCGACCTGGTAAAGTGTTGAATCATGCTTTGAGGTCTGAAAATGAATTGTAGACAATTTTATAAGCTTTCCAAATTGTCTTGTTGCATGTCAATTGGATTTATAAATCTCCAGTTATGACTAGTTTACTATACTGCTACATAGTCTTCATTTTGCTGAAATACAAATGCTTGAGTGTATGCTTGATGCAATGTTCTCGTTGATTGTTTAGGGGTTAGCCTAACTTGAGGATATGCTTAGGTGCAGGTGCTAGGTCATTAACTAAAGATGAGCAATTATACATTACGTTGTATAAACTTGGTAAGTAAAGTGATTTGAATAGGGCTTAAGTTGGAATATGCAAACTACAGCGAATATGTGCATTCCCCGAGCATCCCTAACATTCGTTCATGTGCATCCATGATATTTATCTTGCGCATTCATGCAATAGGTGTGCCGGAGAGAGAGACGTTGCTGGAGTTCGAGGGAGCCAACCAGGAGGAGGAGCCCGAGGTGCAGGAAGCCGACGAAGCAGTCGCCGCGGAGGAATTGCCCGAGTGCCCTGACCACCAGCCTTCCTCGTTCCTGAAAGGCAAGCCCCGGAGCATATTAAGCCTCCCATGCTTTCACAAATACATTGAGTACCTTTTATTATTGATGATGCATTAAGTATAGGAATTGGTTGGAACCAATTGCTGCATTATATATATCCTTCCTTGTCCAGATATCGCACTGGAATCCTATTTAAGTTTAGGAACGGGTTAAATGCTTAGCCATGCTTAGTGCGGTAGAAGTCAGGTGATTTCCTGTCACCTACGAGCTTTAGGATGAGGTGGATCACGGTTGGCTATATTTGCTATCGTGGAAAAGAACCATGTGAATAATGAATTAAGACCGGGCGGGGTCTTGT